TATATATATATATATATATATATATATATAATATTATATTAATTGTACCTGGTAAAAAGTAGCTTGACTACTGTTTTCAGAAATCTTCAAAACATATCTTCTAATGACACCATTTGGCCTAGGACTTGGGTCCCATTTCAGCCATGCAGAGTTGTATGTGTAATTAATAACTGTCAGATTCTCTGGAGGTGCCAAAGGGACTGTGAAAAAAACATTATTCAGGTTAAGGCAATATGACAGTACCTTTACACACAACAAAACCCCAGTATATGTTATACATTAATATTTTTGACATATTGTTCTCCTTATAAATATATATGTATTATTATAAATTATATATGAAGCCACATTTTTAGAGATCTAAACATCTATTTTGCTAGTCTGTATAAAGCCAGATGAGCTATATATGCCTTGGTAGCTATATAAATCCCTAGATGAGTAGCAGCTAGAAAATACAGAGAAACTGAAGGGAATGACAGCTTACAAGTTTATATACATTGTAACTGCATTTTTCAAATGTTCTGTGGCTATGGCTGAGTAACTGGGCAGTTATAAGGAAATCATAAGATGGTCAAACGTTCCATCCTATGCAATTTATCAAATAAAAATAACAGAGCGAAGGAGAGTAATTGCAAATAACAATTAAAACGTGTTTGAGCCCAATTATTTCCACATAACTCTAGTTCAATTAATAAGATACTAAAACATGACCAAGGTATTATCTTGAAATATTGTAAACATTGGATTCATTGAGAAATCTGCATCTTGCAAATTACTCACCTGACTCATCTGTAGAGAACATAAGAACAGAATATGGACCAGGCCCTTTTACAGTTTGAGCTGATGCAAAAAAGCTGTATAGAGTAAATGGCAAAAGGTCTTCTAAAATAATTGAATTATTAGAGGTAGTGAAAGAAATATTTTTTTCTGGGCCTTGTAGCTTTAAATCATAGCCTCTTATAATGCCATTTGGCCGATATGGAGGATCCCAAGATAACATCACTGAGGTAGATGAAAGGTTTCTGTAAGTTTTCAAAATAGGCGCAGAGTCTGGAACTGCCAGTTAATTAGAGAAGAAACATAAAAAGGGAGAAGCAAACATTAATCTGAAATATACAAGAAGCTCAGTATGGGTGTGTCTGTTGTGTAACATTTATAGCAAATTACCTATCTATACAGAAACAGGCAGACACACTTTAATATTTTTAAATAATTATTTTACAAATAATGTTTTCCAATAACATCACATTAAACCCAATAAATGCTTTATTTTCTTCTATTTATTTTATGTAAGTATGTTGCAGTAGTCTATCCTTGAGGCAATAAAGACATGAGATAATGAGATACTATCACCAACACCTCTTACCCCAGGAAGGAAATGCTATTAGCATACCAGTTATTGAGCATCCTATCCACTTCTCAAAATCAGCAAACAAATCCTAGGTGATATAATATGTCTTACTTCTATCATTTTTTTCAGGTCTTGCTCTTGTAGAGTTGATAGCTGAATAAATATGTGCTATTTTATTGACAAAGCTATTTTATTGCCTAAGTATCTCACAGCAGCTTGTAAGGTAGAATTTACCACCTCTACATAATCAGAAGGGAACAGGGCACATAAACAAGGATTCCATCCTACCAGCACAGTAAAGGTGGAGAAGTATCTATACTTCATCTCCCTTATTACCAAACATGAGCTCCTGCCAATATTTATTCAAGTTCCTATTTAGTCTTCTTCCACTGCTGCTAAGAGTATCTCTTTCTTTTTGTTTGAACATACAAAAGAACTAACCAACAGAGAGAGGCAACATAGACAGAATCTTGAGCAATGCTCTAATCTAGAGTTCACCTGACCACTTGATGGAATTTCTTATTACATTGCTGAAGAACCCCAAACTGCCTATCAGAAGTCACTTGTAACTATCAGATTCTTTGGGTTGATCATCTTAATCAGTTTCCCAACTCTGAGGAAATTATCAGCAGTAACTACCCTTATTTAGACCTCGAAACAATTCAATAATATCAAAGAACTGGTTACAATTACTTCCAGGTTCATATCAAATGAACCATATCTAGTCTTTGTGTAGACTAGATCTAATGAATGAATGACTGTTTAGAGGAGCAATTAAGATTTCCAACAATTGATTTTATGGGTTTTGATCTCTATTTATTGTACAGAGCATATGTATTAGCATGTGTGAAATGAGTTCAATGTCTATATTGGAAGATACATAAGTGTGATATTCATAAGGCATATTAACGTATCTACTAGTTATTGTCCTTAGGGGAATTTGCGAATCTGGGTCAAGCTGAAAAGTCTCTTATGTGAAATTTGGGAAATGAAAAAATATTTGTGAATGAAGCAGAAGAAGGTGGCTATTAAGTTATCAGTTTAGAGATCTGCTTTAAGCTCGTTCACTGAAGAATAATTATAGCTTTATTGGGAATGATTCCAACTCAAGAAAAGGCACAAAAAAAAACAGATTAAGATTCAACTGCCTTATTAAAGATTTAAATTTGTCTAGTTAGATGTTATGGACCAAAGAGGTTTCCAAAGAAGTTGTTTCAATCAGAATCTGAAGTAACAGGTTCTCAGATGGGACCCTAAAGAGATACTTTCTAATTCCATCTGAATATCAGGATTGAGGATGGAATAAGGAACCTGGTTATAGTCTTTAAAATTTTGGATTGTACAGCTTCTATCCAATAAGCATCTTTATATATACATAACTGAACACCATGTAGTACTGAGCCCAGTACTTTAGCCTTGAGAAATTTTATGGCTGCTGGTACATAGCTGTTATTATATTGACAAGAGTAACTAATAATTGCAAAGAATGCTTTTATAAGAAGATTCTTTTCTTGACTGATCCAATGAGTAGCTCTTTCAAAGTGGATGCCAAGCTCTTTAAAGTTGTGTTATTAATTACATAATTTCAAGAATTTTGGAAGAAATGATTGGAATATTCATTTTAAAAAATTAATGGTTAAGAGTCTTAAAAATAGTACATTTATATATTAAGAAGAGATTACCGTATTTTCCGGAGTATAAGATGCACCCTTTTCCCTAAAAAAAGAGGCTGAAAATCTAGGTGCATCTTATACAGCATTTTTTGCCTCCTGAAACCCTGCCCCTTTCACCCAAATGTCCGTGCATAGCTTGTAAGAGGCTTTTAGAGAGCTCCTGGGGAGGGCAGAAATGAGGAAAAAACGGGCTGTTTTTTGCTCAATTCCCCCCCCCCCAGCCCCCAGGAGCACTCTATAAGCTTCCTAAAGACTATCCATGCCCTTTTGGGGGGGCAAAAAATGGCCCTTTTTTATGACAAATGGGCTGTTTTTGGGGGGTTTGGAGAGGGCAAAACCTTTTTTTAAAAAATTTGCCTCTTCAAAACCTTGGTGCATTTTATACTCCGGTTCGTCTTATACTCCAAAAAATATGGTAATTAAATAACATTTTTCATTTTTATTGGACATCTCAGAAAAAAAAATAAAGGTAGATTGTCAGCTTCATGATGCTTGAAGTATTGCTGGCAATGACATTTATGATAGACTTTCATCCAGGCCTCCTGTTTTGATCTAATAACCATAAGCTTCTTATTATAGTTTTGGGAAGAGTAATCTGGGTTAAATATATAATTGTGTTTTTGAATTACATACCAATTGCTGGAATTATTCAGTAATAATATAGTATTATATTATAATATATAGTACTATGTTATATTACTATATTATAATAATATAATACTATATTTTTATGCAATAATATAGTATTATTCCATTATATGATCATTTGGCTAGTTCAAGTACAGTTATTATGAAGAAGAGTAAAAAGGATGTTTGTCTATGAGTTCGATCCAATTTTTAAAAAAATATCAATACACATGGAAATACTGTATTAGAAAAAGAAATGAACTAGTTCATGGCATAAGCTACACAAATACAGTCTAAGTTATATAAGTCATGTACAAGCTTATGCCTGAATAAACCTGTACTGAGCAACAAAGCAATATAGATAACTTACCATCTTCTTCAGTTCTGATGTATACACTTAAAGTATACATTTCTGATGATCCTTTTTCTGTTGCAGGAGTAATGTTTAGAAGATAGTTTGCATATTTTTCCAACTTATTAAAAATTATATTTGTATCATATAGAAGCAGCGACAAAATCTCATCATTTGTTTGAGTATCCTTCATTGTTAGTGAAATATTATAGAAGATGAGTCCATTGGGCTGCATTGGTGGGATCCAGCTTACATTGATTACCGTGGAAGAAATGTTCTGATAGGACAGCTGAGTAACAGGCCCATCAGGTACTGAAGGAAATAAAAACATGTCTAAGTACAATGTTTCTATCCCTGATATCAATTATATGCAGTTGAAGAGAAGCATTATGCATAAAAATAAGTTCATGTTGTTCATGGGGCTTTCACATAATTTATTTTAATTTGTTTTAATTTTTAGTTTTTTTATCCTGCTTTTACTATTTTATATGTCATTCAAGATAGTAAACATGCACAATAGCTCTTTCCCTATTTCCTCCACAATAACAATCCTGTGAGGTAATCTGGGCAGAGAGACAGTGACTGGCCTAAAATCACCCTCCTGGATTTAATATTATGTTTAGAACATCAAGCCATGGTTTAAAAAAACACAATTTATTCAAATTATATCTAACCTCTCACAATAAATGCATAGTGGCAAAAAGTGCAAAAAATTATACTATATGATTCTGATAATTAGATGGCTTAGATTGCAATGAACCCTAAAGTTCACACAAAAAGCCTTACAAATGAGTCTGTAAAGAATTACATATAGGATTTCTAGAAACAATATAAACTTTTTAACATACAGTCTTGGTCTGTATATAGCTGCATTATTTCACTGCTTTGGTTTCCATTCCCAAGAGCTGTGTTGGCAGTTAACCAAAGTGTGTAGTGCTTCCATTTGGCTAAATTGTTCAATACTATTGATAAAGTTGAATTATCAGCACTGCTGTCAATTGTGGAAGTGGTAAAATTCTAGACAGAAAATGTTAGGAAAATTTATTGAATTAAAATTAATATTTCTCTATAACTTATTTCTTTTCTCATATGGCTAAATGAACATTATGTATTGCAAACATTTATGATACCTAAACAAAAATCATGATAGCACAGAGAAAATTAACTTCTAGGTACAATAGTATTATTATTAGGCTACCAGTCATGTGGATGTTGGTGAAGAAGAAATAATTATTTTCGCTTTATCTGACTTCAGTTATTTCACTTATTTTTTTGCAAAACTTGAATTGCTTGATTTATTTACATTCTCTGTTTGAAAGTGGAGAGAGTCTGACTTTGGTCATGCAAGCTGTGTACACTTTTAGCTTCAAATATAACATTAAATTCGAATTGTTTCTTATTTACTTTTGTTTTTTATATATATTATTTTTTTGTTTTCCTTTTTTTTCCAGTCAAGTCCAATTCATAGAGATTACCTGTGTAAGTCTCTGCTGTTTTCTCGTCAAGGATTTTCAGCAGCAGTTTGTAATTGGCTCCTTTCTAGGGCTGAGAGAAAGTGACTGGCCCAAATTTACCCTGCTGCCTTTCTGCCTGAGGTGGTGTAACTAGAATTTATGGACTCCAGGTTTCTAGTCTGCTGCCTTAACCACTACATCAAAATGGCTCCTTATTGTTACTTGATTAAAAATATGCTAAAGATTGCTAGCAATTAAATATAATAAAAGTACAAGTAATAACCAAACAAATAAGGCTAAGGACACCCTTGACAAATAACAGCATGCAACAAAAACTCTTTTTTTGTGTGCTTGTGCAAAAGTAAATGCAGGATGCAATAAGGAATAGCCACAAGATGCTACATTTGTGCAACTTCTAGCCACATCTTATGAATTATCTTCAGAACATGCATCACTCTAATTTTCTGTGTTTGGGCACATAAAATCATTTCTTTCACTTACTACTAAGACAGTGTTTTTCAACCTTTTTTGTGCAAAGGCACACTCTTTTCACGAAAAAAATCACGAGGCACACCACCATTAGAAAATG